CGAAGCGGCGGAAGTCCCCCCTCTGGATTTCCACTCGCCCCCACGCAATTTTCACTCGCCAATTGCGAGGGGGCGAGTGGAAATTTTGAGCCCTGGGCTAACCGATTTTGAAAATAATCGTTAGCTGCAGCTCTAATCGGAACTGCGCATGCGCCCGCCCCAAGATCCTTTGCAGCCGTGCGATTACTTCCTGATTCTCAGCGCGGGAGCGAGCAGCGATAACTAGGTACGTTTTTTTTGTTTTTTTTTTAACTTCTTGCCTATATCTACTGCTTGCTAGCAGTAGATATAGGCAAAAAAACCGTAGGGTTTAGAACCCTTTTAAATCCCTGTTTTCCAACAGTTTTACCTAGGGCTGCAACTAATGATTTTCATATTTCATTAGTTGGTCGATTGATTTTTTTCGATTGATCGATTAGTTGGATAAATAATAAATGCCATCTTTATTTAAAATGAAATACACAAATGAAGTGTTACAAACAATTTTACATCAGTAGCGTGTCCTGGACTCCATGGCAGCTGGTGTGAACTCCGCACAATCCTCCCGCTTACAGGACATCCTGACTACCTGAAATATCATTTCAATCAGCCGGCTATGATGGGGAAGAACTCGGGACGCTCGGGGACCTAAAAAAACCCTGAATGCAGCAATGATCAAACGTTTCCTAGCAGCTGAAACTCAGGAAAAGCCACAAGGCCCTCCTTCACGGCCCATCCTCTCTCCCACGTCATCTCCATGTGACCATGACACTGACTCCCTTTCCTTGTTCAGAGTCCGGGGAAGACCAGGACCAAAACTCGGTCTCCCATGGATGAGCTGATGAGAGTGCTTCTGACAAGACTAACTCTACCACATCTTCACCCGCCTCAAGCAGTCCCTGAAGTCGGACATTTTGTCCCTCATGGGAGAGGTGACGCATCTCCTCCACCGTGTGGAAGATGGAGAAAATCACCCTGGACTCGCATGCTAAAGCGCTCTCAACCCTACAATCACATGTCAACGCGCTGGCCTATGCTCAAAGAACTGTCTCTTACTGCTTGGAAGACCAAGAGAACAAGGGCCGCAGTAACAACCTCCATATCTATGGCCTCCCGAAAGCTTTAAGCAGATCCTGGCCGATACATTGAGGGGGCATCTTCAACGTCATTCTAGGACGATAAACCACTACTCCCTTGGTTTTCGACTGCACACATCGTGCCTTACGCCCACGCAATCTTGCTTCTGAAACACCCTGGGATGTCATTTGCCGCCTATATTATTACTCGGATAAGGAAAACATACTGAGGAAACTTCGAGAACGTCCTCTCACGGACTTAGACTGTGCGCACATTCACATCTACCCGGACCTCGCTCGAGAAACCGGGTACGGCGCAGGGCTCTGTGTCCGCTCTTGGAAGTCCTACAAAAAGCAGGTTTCGACTACAGATGGGGTTTCCCCTCTTGCTTAACTGCCCGGAAGAATGGGAAAATGGTGGTCCTTTAGTTCCCGGAAGACCTTGCTCAATTCTGCAACATCTTATCCATCTGTGTGCCTTTGCTACCAGAATGGCAGGAGTCTGTTCCGACCCTAGACTCTGTACCAGATGCAACCTGGCTCCCAGTGACATCTTCCTTGCACCTGAAACACCGCATAACTTGATCGCCGCTTCACTTACCCATTGGCTGGTGCGATTGCTATTGGTGTTACTACTGGAACTCACTGCATTCCCCCGTGCTCACAAATTGTTAATGTGTTTATTTGTGATGCATTAGATAATGCTTAGAGAGTAGTGCAGCGCCTTGATTACTAGAAAGTTCATTTTGAATTTCCTTTCGTTCTTGTAACTGGATGTCTTATTGTCAATATCTTGTCCGCATGGCGCATGCTCTGTCCTACTAGTGGGCCCGAGTGTGTGACTGCTTCCGTGCCTTGCGGGGGGGATGGTTTACTGGCTCACTACCATCAAGTATTTCCCCCTCTGAGTTCATGGGTGGCATTGGATGGCCAATCGTCGTATAGTACAGCCATGTCCCCCACAACTTGCAAAACCGGCTCTATTGAGCCTCAACAAATTGTTTACCTAGACCAAGGGTGCCCATCAGGTCTATCGTGATCTACCAGTCGATCGCAAAGTGATCACTGGTAGATTGCAATGTCTTGTCCTTTCCCCATGGGGCTTCCCCGCTGCTCTCCCCCTCTGCAGGACAAATACTGGAGCAGTAAGCTGATCACTCCAGTGTTTGTAAATAACTGGGGACACATAGTACAGCCAGCATGCAAAAAAAAGAAACTTGTCTCACCGCTTAGGTTAAAAACAGAGGTTTAGATACACGTCTTCTGCAGAAAATGTGAAAGCCGCACAGCCTCAGGCTTCTGAAGGTTTCAGCCAAAAATAGTCTTAGCAGGTGAAACAACTAAGGCTTCTTCAAATGGGGTGTGTCTCTCCTCGTGTGTCGCGAGATGTAATGCAATGTTGTATAGTGTGATGTACCGCTCTACCCCCTCAGAGACCCTCGCGCTTATATTCCAAAATCGACGTTAACTATTGGCTAATCCTAGTTTTATACTTTAGAATAGTACAAACTCATTTTTAGGTCATGATTCCTATACTTTTCTTTTATATGGCTTGACCAAAACTACTTTAAGTCATCAAGATTTCTAATGTCATTCTACAAACCTATTTTAAAATACAGATAGCCTTCTTTGACATTCTTGAACAGCTGTTAACTCTTCAGTTCTCTCAAATTCTGACATAACTTCAGATTTCAAGGGCAAAAGCAAAAAGGATGTCTGTTTCAAAGTCATACATTCATGCACAAGGTCTGTTATTTATATAGATCTCATATATATAATTTTATATATATCTCTCTCACTCTCTCACTCCTATCCCCAAAGCCCCTCCAACAGTAAAAAAAATAAAATAAGAAATATTAGTTACAAAAAAATGCTGGGTGATGTCACACGACTGTTGGGGGCGGCGTGTTTTTTTTTACGTGCCTCAGCGCATAAGGAGCTAGCTACGGCTATGCTCCCGCGGTGCTCGTGTGGCTGCCGGCTGAATTTGTTAGACGCCACAGACGGAAAGGGGCAGGACACCTCTCCCCGTGTGCAACTTTGGTCGCACGAGCATCGTGGGATGACAGGACGCCGGCACCTCTAGAACGCACTGGAATGCAAGCCGGCCGACTCCCTGCGTTCAGGGGCGTGGGGTTGTATTGAAATCAATGGCACTGCAGCCATGCCTCCCGCCCACAGTGCGATCGCCCGCACCTGGAACACAAGCA